CCTCCCCGGTGTCACCTCCTCTTGGTGGTGTCACCTCCTTGTCACCCCATCCTTGGTGTCACCCCAACCTGGTGTCACCCCACCCCGTTGTCACTCCTCCGCAGTGTCACCCTCCTCTGGTGTCACCTCGTTGTCACCCCTCCTTGGTGTCACCCCATCCCTGGTGTCACCCCAACCTTGGTGTCACCCCACCCTTGATGTCCCCCCACCCCAACGTCCCCCCCCTCCTCGCTGTCCCCATGGTCCAAGCAGAAGGTCCTGGTGGGTGTTGGTGGGTCCCACTGGGTGTCGGGGTGTCCCGCTGTGGGGGGAGGGGGTGTTGTCCCACCACTGTGGGGTGGGGGGTGACACCTCTGTCCCCTCCTGTCCCCTCCCCCCCCCCCAAAAGCTCGGCCATCCACGGGCGGGGCCTGTTCTGCAAACGCAACATCGAGGCCGGGGAGATGGTCATCGAGTACTCGGGGATCGTGGTCCGCTCCGTCCTCACCGACAAGAGGGAGAAGTTCTACGACAGCAAGGTGGGGGGGGGACACCTCGGGGACAACCCGGGGGGCCCTCGGGGACACGTTGGGGTCACCCCCCGTGGCCCCTGGGGACGTGGAGACCCCATGGGGGTCACCCTGACACCCCAACACCCTGTCACTGTGTCACCTGTCACCCTGTCACCGTCACCATGTCACCCGGCACCCTGTCTTCCCCCCACCCCATCACCCTGGGGACACGTTGGGGTCACCCCCGGTGGCCCCTGGGGACGTGGAGACCCCATGGGGACGTGGGGTGGGATCCCCCTGGGGCTCGCTGAGGATTGGGAGAAGGTCAAGAGGGAGGTGGGATCTCGGGGACCTTCAGGACACCTCGGGGACAACCCATGGGGACCTCGGGGACACGTTGGGGTCACCCCTGGTGGCCCTTGGGGACGTGGAGACTCCATGAGGACATGGGGTGGGATCCCCCTGGGGCTCGTTGAGAATTGGGAGAAGGTCAAGAGGGAGGTGGGATCTCGGGGACTTTGAGGACACCTCGGGGACACCTTGAGGACACTTTAGGGACACACTGGGGTCACCCCCGGTGGCCCCTGGGGACGTGGAGACCCCATGGGGACGTGGGGTGGGATCCTCCTGGGGCTCGTTGAGGATCGGGAGAAGGTCAAGAGGGAGGTGGGATCTCAGGGGCACCTTGAGGACACACTGGGGTCACCCCTGGTGGTCCCTGGGGACGTGGAGACCCCATGGGGACGTGGGGCATCATCTGCTCAGGGATCGTGTCCCCATCTCCTGGGGCATCGGGTGCTTCATGTCCCCATCCCATCGGGGTGTCCCTTCATGGTGTCCCCATCCCATGATGACATCCCTTGATGGTGTCCCCATCCCATCATG